AGCCATCTTCGATACAGCGAATCCCATTTCCGCGATTCGCGAATGGAAAGCCCCGCCATTTTCGCTCAGAGCTCCTGAAGATCTTTGTGGGCCATGGATCATCGAACTGGGACCACAAATCTGCACGGTCCCCTTTGGAACTTCGACTCTCTAGCTTCGAGACTATAACAAGGCCAAGGCGGCCAAAGGTACACGCAAAGGGACACGGTCGCGCACTCAGCATGTGTTGAGCATGCTGGTCAGCGCCGTGCGCTCGGCACTGGTAATGGTGAGGCTGTACGAGCTCTTGACCTGGATCCAGCTCCGCGCGTATGTGCACCGAAACGCCGTCACGGGGGGCGACCACAGATCTGGGCTGCGATCGCCCTTGGATCGGTTCGTGCTGGCCGAGACCGCCCACAGCTGCGGACCCGACAGGTCGTTGGCGAAAGCCTCTCGTCGTGCAGCCGTCCACGTCGAGGCGCCCGACTGCATCCACTGTCATCAGCCTTGGTCGTCGCACAACTGCTGTCTGGGGAGGGAGAGCACAGGCAAGAGAGGGAGGGGGCGGGAAGGGGAAAAAGACGCACGATCCATGCATTGGCCAGCGGCACCATGTGGTCAATGTCGACCGACGACGATTGTGTCACCGTCACGCCGTCGTACGGGCTAAACCATGTTCCAGACGTCGGCTGGCATGCGCTGTCGGTGCTGACGCCGCTTCCATCGCGCACGAGCACCGTCTCACTGCCGATCACACGTGTCAGTTGCTCCGTGTTGGGTCATGGACTTGATGGACGACACTCATTTCGTTGCCCTCTAGAACTCACCGTGAATCGCATGTGCCTGATACAATGTGCCAGTGGCGGAACAGACTACGGTCATAATCGGCCGACGATCCTGCAGCTGCCACTGTCAAGCCCGCAAGAAGGGTCCTCGCCGACGTAGCCGAAGGGATTCCGGGCTGTAGTTCCGACACTATCAGTCGGGCGCCGGCCAAACGAGGATCCAACAGGACGAGTACGAACCGGATCGGCCACAGCCACAGGAGCCGGGACCGGTGCAGCAAAGACTCCAGCAGCCGCAACGAGAAGTCCCGTGATCGTGGTGGTGAACTTCATATCGGCGATAAGTAAGGCAGACGCCCTGATCAAACTTGCGAGAAAAGAGAGGCAAATACGAGGCAACAAGACCAAATATCGGGCCGTCTGAAGATTCTCAGGGCCAACATTGATCATCATTACACGGGGCTTCGACAGCCTTTTATCCACGTACAGACAGTCGCACCTTGAGCCGCAGTGCTTATCTCAAAAGACACACTCGCACCCCACGAAACACCAAGACTTCCCCGCCTCTACCTGGTCATCTGAATACGCGTCTACATTTCATCGGAGCCCGCCGCTATCAATCGTCCCGGTGCATCTTGCCTCTTCATCCTGATGTGGCAGAGTACGCGCAACCATTCACAGCCCTCGTACTTCCCACGATCGTTTTCCATTACGCTTTATCCCCAATCCGCGATAACCTACAGGACCAGGACAGGGCCCTGAAATTACTAGGCTCCAATCTTCTGTATGGCCTGTTTCTTCGAGAACCAACTCCTGACCTATCGCTGTCAGTCTTCTGCGAAAGCCGTTGGCAACTCTAACATAAACATGCCGGGGACGCATCGCGACATCAGCCAGCGCAGCCACTCAAAGGGCAATGTGTAACCACGTTATCGGAGCCGGTGATTGAGGTTATCTACTTGCTAGCGCCCTAGCCCCGGGTCGTGGATAAACAGGCTGAGAGATGCCTCTTTGGGTAGCCAAGTGCCGATGGCGGCGCGGGGTAAGGGTTGGCTGGATGGCTATCACGGAAGGCACAGATGTACATCACGCTGGTGCTCTTGCGGTGAGGACGGCATACTGCCAAATTCGGCACATTGCGAGGCGGGGCGGATGCTGTCTGAGAGGAATCACTGTCGGGAGGTGCCGTAGCAATATGGGCGACTCGCTATCGGCGTGCCGCCAGTTCCGGATGATGAAGCACGTGAAGGGACGATGCCTGAACGGCATTGAAGGGAAGGGAAAATGGCTGTCTGAAACACAAGCAACGGCAATCGACATGCGACAGGCAGTGGCTCAGACCAAGGTGATGTCGCTCGCAAATCCCTCACTCGTAGCTCCATGGTTGGGGGGGTGAGACTGGCACGCAGAGTCAATTGAGTCTTCTGTCAAAGTCAAGGTAGCAGAGGCCCCTTGTCGTTGGCGAGGGCGAATCTGAGTTTGCGGCAGTCAGCGACGAGTGCGATAAGTTAGGCCCACCGAGCAAGCAAGCAAACCTCTGCGTGTACAAGCTTTCGGATGACGATAAGTCCCACGGACCAGTATGGAACTTCAATATGCAGGGAAGGCCGTCGCTTGTGAACCTCTGCATCGAATCTCAACAACGAGGCACGCATCAAGATAGGAGTAAATTAGGTGCCCTGCCATACCTCGAAGGAAAAGTGCCTTGGTCTCTTGAATGAATAGATAATCAATTTGGTAGGTGCTAATTCTCATGAATCAGTCTGCGTGGCTTAGCTGGTCAGAGCGTCGGTCTCATATTGCTTAATATGACTAAGTCATAACACTTAGACATCCGAAGATCATGAGTTCGATCCTCATCGCGGACAACTGTTTTGTTTCCATGGAAAGGCCAACCCTTTTTGCCCATCACTGTCATTCATCCAACATGGGACTCATAGTCAAAGATATTAGAGTCGCCCAGTCCGCCTCATTCCGAAGTGTATATCTAGCGACGTAAAGTGCGTCATACTGCATTGCATGTTGATGTTGCGAACAAATGTTAAGTACACCTCATCTCAAGGACGTGCTTGTTCATGCACTCTGCCTCATGCTCGACCTGCCCTCCTCAAACGTTCTTCCATCTGTTGCCGCGGGCTAGGGAGGTTGACCTCTGGAAATCTGTTGTCCTTTTGCCATGGTAAAAAGTCGGACCCCTTGACGAGCCAGTGTAGCACGTCCCTTTCCAGTTGGTCCACCAACTCCTTGAGCTGCGGCTCTTGTGCCAGATTATGCATCTCGTGAGGGTCGGCTTCACGATCGTACAGTTCAGCTGGCTCGTACAAACGATAAACGTAGGCCCACCTCTCGTTTCTGAGCGAGATTGCTTTCCCAACGAGCGAAGTATCCTCGTGCTGCAGTCCCGCTTTGATATCGTATGGATACGGCGCCTGTTCCAGAAGAGGCTCTTCTGAGGTCAAGAAGCCTCCCTCGGAGAAAGCGTATTTCTTATGTTTTTGTGCGTCTCCGACTAGGACCGGGATCCACGACTCGCCATTGTGAGGAAAATGTTCGCCAATGCCCGACATCTCGAGAATCGTCGGGACGAGGTCGACCATCTCCGTCATGGCGGCGACCGACTTTCCCTCGGGAAGCCCTGCGCCGCCGATAATGAGTGGTTCGCGCACGAGGGTCTCCGAGAGACCGGACGGCCACTTCTCGATGAGGCCGTGGTCGCCGAGGTACTCGCCGTGGTCCGTGAAGAACATGGTCACCGTGTCCTTCCACAGGCCCAGCTCGTCGACGCGCTTCATGACGCGGCCAAATTGGTCATCGAGTCGAGAGATCATGCCGAAATACGTAGCCTTGACCTCTTGCCAGATCTCGTCGGTTGCGCGTCCGGTGCCGTACCTTTCGCGGATGGTCTTCATGTACCTCGGCTCATACCCCGTCTTTTCTTCCGGTCGTGACACAGCACCTGTCATTGCTGACCGATCGTACATGGAAAAGTACGGTTCCTCAACCTGGAACGGACAATGGGGAAACAGGAGCGGCATGAAGAGCACCCAAGGCTTATCGTCGGGGGGGCACTCAAGCCACGTCAAGGCTGACCGTACAACGGCCTCGTCATAGTCGAGCGCCTCGTTGGCGTTACGGAGCCCCTTGTAGAAGAGGCGTTTCCAAATGTCCTCGCTGTCCGCCGGTTTCTCGGCCCCGCCGCCCGTGAACTTGGGAACAAAGTCGGGCGTCTCCAGGAAACCGTACTCCGTCAGCGACAGCTCGGTGACGGTGGGGGCAAATGTGTCGCCGCGCGGGGCGAGGCAGGCGACGTGGTAGCCGTCTTCTTTCAGGCTGCGGAAAATGTTGGGTTCCCACGGTTTGATGAGGTTCTCGAGACTGCGGTGCCCGCTCACATGCGGGTATGTCCCGGTGAACATGCTGCATCGCGACTGCGAGCAGACAGAGGCCTGGGTGTAGCAGTTTGTGAAGAGGGTGGCCTTCTGGCGGAACGCATCGATATGAGGCGTCTTGATGCCGGACTTGCCATCAGTGGTGCATCCTAGGGAATCGTAACGGAGCTGATCTGGCATAAAGATGATGTAATTTGGTTGGTTTCCGCCATTCTTGGAGTTGACTTTCAAAGGTAAAGGCTTAGGAGCCTGTTTGTACGGCGGAGAAGCCATGTATTGGAATCTGACGCAATTGAGATTGTTGATGATGAGATTGTAAACTTCGCGAATTCTTTCGACAACGATGCGGTCGAGGTCGTTTATCATATTGGCACACTTTCAGTGATGCCATCGTCACAGGTGATGCTCGCGCCGGCTCGGTCCCCGACAGCCGGCCACCCCACCACCTCAGAACCACGCATCTCGGCCGACGAATGCGCTAAGCGCCCCCTCCAGTCGCGCTACAGACTGACGTGATGCCGAGCTCAGCGCTTCGATCGAGCGAGCCTGCCGGGCGTCGGCATCGCGTGATCACGTCGTCGAGATTTTGGTCCAATACAGGCTCTGACCGCGGACTTGTTGGCCAGGAATGTCAAGCCTCACACACAACAACCTCGATAACGGCAGGTTGCCCGACCGAGGCCAAGGAGTGGTTGTGCCGCCATGTTCGGCATAGATATAAACCCTGAAGGCCCGACACCGAATGTACTCCTGAGCAGCGCAAACCGAATACAACAACGCCCGACACCTTCTCGCCGTAACTGAACCAGTATCTCGATAGTTGGTTTGCCACCACCCTGACACCATGCCTGATCTCTTCGACAAGGGCAGGTACTTCAACCGAACCCTATTTTTGAGTGTCTTCTTGATCGCCGTCTCTACTTTCAATTATGGTTTTGATAACCAAGCGTTTTCCACGATTCAAGCCATGGAACACTTTACCAAGCGCTTTGGCGAATATGATACAGTCAAGAGCAAATACGTGCTCCCGCCTTCATGGCTGTCTCTCTTCAACAGTCTCAACTACATCGGATTTGCAGCCGGTATGTCTTGGCACCCTGTTGCTAAAAGCGCTTAGACTTGCTAACAAAGGTTTGGCCAGGCGTCATCATTGGAAGTCTGATCTCTTCTCGCTTTGGCCGCAGGTGGTGCATGTTCGTCATGTCTATCTATGCTCTGGGAACAGCAACTATTGCAGTCACGTCGAACAGCAAGGATCAGATCATGGCGGCACGCATCCTTAACTACGTCTACGTCGGTATGGAGCTCTCCGTTGTTCCAATCTTCCAATCGGAAATTGGTGAGTTTCGATACCAACAGTATCTGTAAATCGAAAGATTAACGGGAGTTTGCAGTTCCCGCTCCGGTTCGCGGCTTTGTCGTCGGCACATACCAGCTGAGCTTGGTTGTGGGCGGCCTCACGATCAACAGCATCTGCTACGGGACAAGCAAGATTGACGACAACAGGTCTTGGCGAATCCCCCTCGGCCTTTTCTACATTGTACCGAGCATCGTTGCGGCTTTGATATTTTTGGTGCCTGAGTCTCCCAGATGGCTTCTGCGACAGAACCGTCCCGAGGAGGCCAAGGCTATGCTTGTCAAATTGCGCCAGGGAGCTTTCACAACGGACGAAGTTGAGGCTGAATTCCTCGAGCTCCGCCTGGCACTGGAGAGTGAAGAGAAAGGGAAGTTTGTCGAAGTCTTCCGTGGCAAAAACGTGCTGCGGACCGCCATCGTTATTGGCGTCAATTTCTTCCAGCAAGCCACAGGACAAGCATTTGCGTCGCAGTACGGCGCCGTCTACGTCCGAACTCTAGGAATTTTCAACCCAGTGTTGTTCAGCCTGATCAACTCTGCGATCAACGTGATCATTAACTCGGGCACTTTACTTGTGACTGACAAATTAGGAAGACGGTAAGACAACACTTGAATCCACAAAAATTATGCTGATTCCGTTGTAGCACACTCCTCATGATTTCCTCCGTTGCTATGATGGGCTGCCTGCTGTCAATGGGAAGCCTGGGCATCCAGGTCCCCGTCTCGACGGCCCGTATGAAGGGCATCATGGCGCTGATTTCACTGTTTGGAGCCAGCTTTTCGCTTGGCTGGGCTCCATTGACCTACGTTGTTGCCACGGAGGTTTCAGCGCTCCGCCTTCGCGACCATACGTCTCGCGTTGGGTTCACGGTCAACGTAGTCTTCAAGTAAGTACGCATCAAGTTTCTAGCCTTTGGTGGACGCATGCTTCGTTGACCTGAAAATACTGATAAAACAAAGCTTCCTCGTAAACTTCTCTATCCCCTATCTTGTCTGGCCGGAGAATGCCGGGCTTGGCAGTAAAGTTGGCTTCATTTTTGGGAGCGTTGCATTCTGCTCGCTGATCTTTACGTACTTTTGCGTACCTGAGTGCAAGGGAAAAACGCTGGAGCAGGTCGATTATCTGTTCAAGACTGGAGTCGGACTTCGACACTTTGTTGACGCAGATGCCGGCGGCCTCTTGAAGTCGAATCAGGGGTTGCAACGCAAGGAGGAACATCAAAGCGACGTTGAGAAAGGGTCATCGTTTGTTGCATACCAAAAGGATTCCAAATGATTTATTCATCACGGGCGAAGATGCTCCTTCTCGCTGGTCAGCCTGGGGTTGAAAATGCGAATGTCCAGAAGGCAGAGGCAGATTGGGGCCGGTCACATTCAGTCTCGAATACAGATTTCGTATCATTTCGCGTACCACTGTCAAGCGCATCGACCAATTTTGTGATCACGGTCTTGTGTCCTGAACTTCCAAAGCGTTCGCCTCACATAGCTAGCCCACAGAAGCACATATTGAGGTGAGCCATGCGGTTTCCGATGGCGCGCAGTGACATTAGCCGAAGCAAGCGCTTGCGTGATCCGCCCCCGGACTTGTGTGATCACCCTTCTCCACACAAGCTTCAGTGGTCACAGCACTCAGTGGACAGAGCTAACACTCTAGCTCGTCTGGTCACTTGAATCCCATTAGCCCTGGGTTACGCCCCGCATTTGCTGAGCAGCAAGATGCCGAGCACGACATCCGTACCGAGCCGTCAAAAGCTGCCGGCTCCCGTCGTCATGCTCGGTGTTCAACACACGACCTGATGGATCCCTTCGACATGTCGGCAAACGCATTGACCTTGACGCCTACTCTGCCAACGACGCAAAGTATCCAGGCAATCATCGATCGCGGTCGAAGTGATGGCGGCAAGTCATTGGCGGCGTGTAGACAATGTCGTGCCCGCAAGGTCAAATGTGATCGCGTCGAACCATGCTGCGCTGCGTGTACTCGGCTCGGCTTTCCCTGCTCCTTTGGCAACGTTGTCAACGACACAGATATCGACATAACCAATCCCTCACCCAGTCTAACACAGGCAGGGACCAAGAGAAAGCGATCGCGGCAGGCATGCAAAGCATGCAAAGCAGTCAAGGCAAAATGCTCCGGTGGGAAGCCTTGCGAGAGGTGTCTTGCCCGAGGCAACCCTTGCGAACAAACGTACGTCGCGCAAGAGCCCGACCAGGGTTTCTGGCTTGGACCTTCGCCAAACCATCCGGCGCTGTCGACGCCGGGCACGATGGGCAGTCTTTCGTCAACAAACAGTGCTCTGTTGGACAAGCCTGTCGTCCGGAAGTACCTTGAAGCGTACTTGGATTCGCCGAGTATGTCTGGCTGCAAAATATTCCTGAAACCCGTTGTTCTTGCCGATTGGAGCAAGGGAAAACTGAACCCACTGCTACTGAAAGCTATGGTCGCTAGTGGACTCCGCATCGTCGACGAGCTTCCCGAGAGCCAAGCCACAGCCAAAGCATGGGTTCAAGAAGCTCAGCATGACCTCCTTCGGCACATCGGCAAACAGTCAATCTCGCAACTTCAGGCCCTTGTCGTCATTATCCGTTTCCATTATGTGGTGGGCGAGGTGTCCGATGCCTGGAACTTGCTCTCTCTAGCTGCTCGACTCATTTTCACGATGCGTCTCAACTGGGAAGATGACGGCCTTGATGCAGTCACCCAGGAGACTCAGCGCCGACTCGCCTGGGCTATTTACCTCATTGATCGGCAGTTCTCCGGAGGCATCGAAGACCTCGCAGTATGTGCCGTGGAGCGGATGCATATTCGGTTGCCGTGTGATGACCATAGCTTCCGACGGGGAATGAAGTCTAAAGCAGAGTATTTGCACGACATGGCTCGTTGCAAGAGTGGTGACATGGACATTCTCTCTTACAATGTCCGCTTGGTAGCTTCTAGGGACCGTATTCTGAGGTAAACACCCCACAACCGAGCAATGATGGGCAGCGAGAACTAACCGTCGCAAGATACACCAAACGTGTCAGGCGAGAGTGCTCAAGCCCTGTAGATAGCACGAACGAGGCGACGATACTTCACAAAGAGCTCGATGACTTCGCAGAAGCTTTGCCCGATGATCTCAAGTTGACGTCAGAGCGACTTCTCTATATGTCACACTCTGATGAGGCCAGTGAATACATCGCTTTGCACACAATCTGGTTGCAATGCTACTGCGACCTCTATCGCTTTCTGATACCTGGAATTCGAGAATCCGTTCCCAAACAGGCCATGGAGCAAACGCCCCCTGACTTAGTAGAGAGCTACCAGAAAATATGCTTGGACAAGGCGATTCAACTTTGCGAGTTCTGGTCCGAGGTTCATCAGTTGCAGCCCACTCAAGGCATCAACGACATGATTGTTGCTGTCAGCATCTATCAGGTCTCCCAAATTCTATACCATCTTCAACCTCTGCTACCAGAGGAGGGCTATCGCAGCATCGAGAGCCTCAAAGCAAAACTGGAGTGTGCGCTCCAGCTGACAGCCTCTCTGAGGACCTCTTTCAGTCGATCAACGGCTTGCCTGAAGGCGTGCGATAGATTGGTCAGCATTTTGGGTCACATCCCGCAACAGCCATCGCGACCATCGAGCGTGGATGAACTCGAAAACCAACATCATCTTCCGTCCAAGCATTCCTTTATTCCTACGATATCAAGACGACAACATGGGTCGGAAAATGATCACTCAAGCAACCCAGCATCTCCTACAGGATCTGTCCCAGAAAACAACCAGCGGCAAGCAGAGGACATGGGCTTGCAGCTCAGGGCGGCTACGCGTATGGACATAATGGACTTCAGCGGCGGCCATGTTCCTGGTTCTTTGCCACCATCTGCGATGAGCGATGGTGGCATGGCACCGTGGGATCCCTTTGACATGCAGATGAACGACTACTACGACCCGGAACTTGGACAGTTACTCATGTCGATAACGAGGTAGGGTGACTGGGTCAATGTGTAATCCTCAAGCGATGGTGCCATGACCTGCACGGGAAGATCAATCTTGATGTTTGTAGGGTGGCAAAGGACCTTGTGTCCACTGCTTTCTTCGAGATGCCGAGCTGACCCAGTTTCTTGAGTGGATTTCCTCTCAAGCCAAAAATCGACACTGCCTTGGCTTGATCTACCTTGCCTGTTGGCCCCTCACAGAGCTGAATGGGCTTTATTTTAATTCGATGATCCTTGTGAGTGGAAGCCGAGCCCAACGCTGCGAGTAAGATTGCGGTTCTTGACCCGAAATCCTGGGTCCAGTCATGCACTGTAAGTAGACCACGTTTCGCGCCGGGATCCGAGATAGTGGGCCCCCTCTCAACCCCTTTCCCGGCACCTCGAGTAATACTCCTAGTGCTGCGTCTCAATTCCTTTGACCCATTGATGCTAGGGTAACGTCGTTGCACGTTCCCAGCATGTTCATCCGGAGTGGCTCAAGGTTCCGAGAAGATCGGTGAGCTTTCTTCCGAGGTGCCGCGAGCGTGTTGCCCTGGCTGTTTTCCTCGACGCGCTTTCAAGACATAAAGTCCTACACACATGTACAATCATTTTTCTTTCTCGTCTCGTTGGCATTGTTTTCGGCGCGGGAAAATAACCTGTCTATCACCATGGCATTGTTGCTAGTAGTCTTCTCAGCGGCAGCGGTCGCAGCCTCGTCGAAGGGCCGGTCGAACATTTTTGACAGATTGAACGCCCCTTTGCGCTTCAGTCAAGACGACACCTTCAAGATTTCTGTCATGCAAGACTTGCACTTTGGCGAAAGCATGAGTCCCAGCCCTGACAGATGCCACCCTTAAATACTGACCGAGGATTCTCAGATTCTTGGGAGTCATGGGGACCTGCTCAAGATGCCAAAACACTCGAAGTCATGAACACGGTCCTAGACAGTAATCCGCCAGATCTCGTCGTGTTCAATGGAGATTTAGTTACCGGAGAGAATCTGTTCTTAGAGAACAGCACCCATTACGTTGACGTGATGGTCGCTCCTCTCATCGAGAGAAATCTCACTTGGGCTTCAACTTATGGAAATCACGATTATCAGTTCAATGTCTCTGGGCAAGGTATCTTTGAGCGAGAGAAGCGGTTTTCGAACTCCCGTACGCGTAGGATGGTCGCTGGCGACAATGCCGGCGTAACCAACTACTACCTACCCGTGTATGCCGAGGGCTGTCACCACTGCGATTGTGTCCCCGAACTGCTACTGTGGTTCTTTGACAGCCGAGGCGGTTTCAAGCTTCAGGAGCGTCAAGCGAACGGCGCAGATGTTAGCCACCCTAATTGGGTCGATCCATCCGTCGTCGAGTGGTTCAGAACATCTCATGCACGCATTTCCCAACGCTTCGGCAAGATCATACCGTCTCTCGGGTTCGTTCATATCCCCACACAAGCATCCCAGGCGCTTCAATTGTCAGGCGTACACCCCAATCACCAGCCTGGCATCAATTACGATACCCCACTCTCGCAGCAGGCTCAAGGATGGTGCCCAGACGGCAAACCAAACACGAAGTGCAAGTATGGAGGTCAGGATGCCCCGTTCATGGAAGCCATAGCCTCAACACCAGGAATTATTGCGCTCTTCTCGGGCCATGACCATGGAAACACTTGGTGTTACAAGTGGGACAAAGCTGTGAGTGGGGTGGCTATCGAGGGAAACGGCGTGAATTTGTGCTTTGGTCAACACACGGGTTATGGCGGGTACGGCAGCTGGATTCGGGGAGCTCGACAGGTCCTCGTGACCCGTGAGGGGCTCAAGAACTTTGAGGTCGAGACATGGAACATCCTGGAAGACGGCCAAACTGTAGGCTCTGTGGCACTCAACGCTACTTACGGCCTTGACTCGTATCCCGAGGTTTCGGACGATCACACGAGCTGTAATTGTAAGTGGCTGAAACAAAGATTCTCATCATGCAATGGGAATCACAGAGTCTCATCGCTAACTGATCCAGGTTGATGTTACTTCGCAGCCCAGCCATCTTCTGGGAAACGCTGTGAGATGTCGTAGTTGGGAGCTTTGAAAAAGGTTGGTTGCTCTGTATACTGCTCGACTGGACGTTACAGGCCTCCTCAATATCGAGCGTCCCGAAGTACGCCGATGTGAAAGCTACATACCCCCGCACTAGATTCACCTGGTGCCAAAGAACGTCACAAACAGCAGTGACAGCAGACTCGTCTCCGACTTTTTTTCCTGTTGCAAAGTAGATCTCCTAGTCAACTGCAAATGGGTGATGTGGGCCGTGATGGGCACGAACATGGCTGGTTGCCCGGCTGGTGCGAGTCAACTGTTATGCACCAAGGCGATCTGCACCAAGCCACTTTAGGTCATCTGTGGAGAGCATGGTCACGGGCCTTGAGAACCATGCTCGGTGTTTCCGTCACGAGTCATTCTATGGTGTATTGTATACCGGCAGTAGCCTAGGGCTGATGCGGCGGGGGAGGGGTTGTGGACCAGGGGGATGTGCAAAACCGCGAAATTTGTTGCGCATCACGAGGTAGCTCGAGTAACTACCCATGGCAATCCCTTCTCGAGAGCAGCGATGCAGTAAATAAGGATCTTTTGATGCCCTCTCACGTCTGGGCGCGCCTATACAATGCATTAGGTCTGGGGAACCTTACTAGGGCCGTTCCCGCATTCATCGTCTAATCTAGTCCTGTCCCCAAGTTGCCGGCCTTTACGTCCTGCTAATTGAGGATCAAGAAGGACCCTCACACATGCCAATACCATCTCGTATCACGGCCCCTCGAATACGGATCCGCTGCGTGAACATCGATGGGACTTTGGCCGGGTTCCATGATCATCTGCTGCGTAGAATGATTCGTGTCTTAACGGAAAGCGCCCGAACCATTGCAGCGGGTCAGTGGAAGAGTACGCTGCCTCTTGAGGCACATAGAAATGCCACCAGAAACCCACCTCACGCCCTCATAGCTGCCCTCGTCGTGCGAGTCAGCCATGAAAGTACCCGTCTGGCGCAGCGAGCCGATACAGCCCTGGAAAGTACGGCCGTAACGGCGAGTAGTCCAAGGCTTGGTGATCCAAACACCGGCCTGTCCGTCAGCTACCACGCCAGACAGGGTGACGGAGGCCTGGGTGGTCCAGGTACGTGAGTAGTTGATGCCGAGGGTTCCGCCAAGCCTGTCCTTGATGAACTTGAGATCAAGGCCAGCAGATACGGAAACGCTGTTGCTGACGCTGTAGCTCGAAGCAACGGCAACAGTCAAGCCGTTTCCCACACCGAGGACAACGGGGGACATCTGCACGTCCCAGTCGATGAATCGTTCCGTCCTGTCGGTGACAAACGACGTGGTTGACGCACACTGCCGGGTCTGGAGGACGTGGCTCTCAGCCTCTGAGGTAGCGAGGTCGCGAGCGTCGAGATAGGCGTGGTCGACCTCGGGTGTTCCGACCGAAACACCCTCAGACTCCAGGAGAGCGAGCCAAGTGTCCTCGTGAATGACCTCCACTGCAATCTGTCAGCAGGAATGTCACCGAAACTGGGGCTCGATATAACCTACTCCGCCCATTGCCATAGACGATCACTTCGTCCGGTTGAAGCTCATGGTCAGGAGTCCACACTGTGGCGTTCAAGTCGCGCTCCGACATGAACGGTGCAGCTGCAACCATGGAGGCCAGGAAAAGGCCGGCAAAGTGGGTGGTGATCATCGTGTATAGACAAGACAAACCGAGGATGAGAATGGTGTATGGATGAATGATGATGATGATCGATCAAAATCCCCAGACATGGCCAACTCATGGTAGGTTTTATAGACAGAGGTTGAACGACGTCGTTACTGTTGCCTTGGAGCGACACCACATCCCTCACGCTGTGTGCCAAGATAGAGTCACGGCAATTGGCCACTTGAGGAATCGGTCACACAATCAGCTCGTCTTTTTTGTGGTCTAACCACAGTTGAGAAGCCTGGCATCTCTCTTTCCAAAAGCATCCCGCAAAGCTGTGTAACTGAGTCAAGGTTGATGCATCAATTATATTGGATCTCCACACCCGTTTAATGAGCGCTTACTGTTTCAGGAGCCAAAGATCATGGGTCAGGTCGATACCCATATCAGATTAGACACTACCGGGATCGATCTTTGCCTGTTTAGTCGAGAGGAACGTCACCGAAAGGCTTATAATCGGAGCATCGTGAGTCAACCTCACTGTCATAGTTGTTCATGACTAGATATTTTCGCTGGCCGGCCCCGGATAACTCTCGTGTTACATGAATCGAGGTCTCGTCAGGTGCTTCCTATTGCGGTTGCCACTTGTCAACGTCGTTAATACTCCACCACCCGAAAGACACCTGCCTCTTTAGGATGATGAGATCGAGACATTGTGAGTGCTCGACGTCAGGCACCGGCAGTAATCCCGAGTAAATGAGGTGGCGGCGAGCTCGGCGTTCCCGACATTGAGGACGGCCACGATATGGATTTGCTCGCGAAGACTGGCCTCTGATCTGCAAAGTGATGGCCTCCTTACAAGACTGATCGAGGGCAGATTGACAGCATAAGAACGAGCGGAATTCCACATACCTCATGCTCTTGGAATGAAGTTCTCTATTCTTTGTATCTTCAGCTTCTACTCGTGGCCAAATAATCACAAGATGCATTACGTTTACTCCACCTTGGCGGTTGCTCTTATGCTTGCCGGCGGGTAAGTCAAGTCCCATCTCCAAGCTCCCTTGCGATCCAAGAGAGGCGGTCGAAGGTCTCTGGACTGACACCATGTTCTCGGCAGCGCTCTGGCTGACTTGCACAACGTCGCTGTCTGCGTGACGAACCGCAAGTCTGCTCCCATCGGCGGCACAGGTTGGAGCGTCAGCTACAACTGGGCCAAGAACTACGAGATACTTCCTGAGGCGACGCGTTGCGCGTGCAACCTCTATCGCCAGCGCAACACTGGAAATAAGCAGTGGGATAAGTGCCCTGACTGCACTTTCGTATGCATCCTGGTCCTATACTACCTCATCTTGCATTCTACTAATCTTGATGTAGGATGGCCTTGGCTGCAACTCTGCTGGTTGGCACATTGGCGGCGACGAGGTATGTTCAACAGTTCTTGTCGGGAAACATGTGGCATGCTAACGCTGGATTGAAGATGAACTATTACTGTTCCAAGAAGTGCGGCGCTCAGGGCTCTGAAGCCAACTAGACGTCAACCCAGAGCGAAATTTAGGACTCTCCGTTTTAGCCTGTCAATTGTATTCGCGGAATGTCTTCTAACTCCACGTATGCCCAGGTGAACTAGATGGTGCGAGACTTTGGATTCTAGGCTTCAATCTATAATGCGATCACTGTCAAGAAACCTTCTTTTTAATCTGTGTGTGGCAAAGCCTTCACAGCATTTTAGGTACTGACACAGACGACCGTAATGTTACATGTAGTGGCATCAATAACCATTGACTTGGTGATATGTGTTAATCACCTTCCCCGTGGGGGCTGTTTCACTTGATCAAAGATTAGCCTATCTGAGAACGCGATTCATAGCGGGTGCTCCCGGGCTTTCGGCACACAGCCAATCCACTTCAGCTGTGTGCCTGACTCGTCCTTCATTGATATGGCCAGCATAAGTCACGGCCAGAAGGAAGCTGCAATGATTCCCTGCCAATGTCTCGGCCCACTCTTTTGATGATACTCGTCATAAGGAGGGGTGTATAGCCCCTGTCAATCGAGTGTAGCTTAGCACGACGCCGAAGCAGCTGAGATCACGGGATAATAGGCGCGGCGATACCAAGGCAAAGAACCCTTCCGGTATGAAACAACCGAAGACCATGCTCCCCATACAAGAATCTGGTAGGTGTTTGCTCGAGTGATAGTGAGAGCAACGCCGTTACGATATATGTAGATGACGTCTCGCGGTTGACCCCACTTGCCATGCCAGCTGCCTCGGGGAGAAGTGTCCTGTCCACATGATGCTTTCTTTGGGGACGAGGCATCTATCCCTTGATAAGTTTGATCCAAGAGATCAACAGCCAACGGAGCCTGGAGTTGGTGCGGCCATTTGCATGCATCGCTGTCGCGTAAATTTGGAGGCATGTCAGTCCGGCCTGTTATGTGCTGTATGTCGTGAGCTGCAGTCTCACTCACCCGGGGATTTCCCACACAGAATGTTCTACACCTTAATTGCTTCTTTCTTACATTCAACATATTTCAATGACGGCATATCACTACGCTATTGAGAGGTCAGCGGTTCATGCAAGACCCCCCAGAAGTACCTTACTAGAGGCAGAGCATCGGCGTTGGGGTGATGTCCTTTGACAGGTGGTGGCAGCTGGGCTAGCCCCCAAGAGTACCTGATCCAAGCTGGTGGTCCACGAACAAGTAAATGACCAGTTTCACAACATCAACCCGTAGGGCTGACGTCCCTGCAGATGGAGCGAACAGTCACCATTCACCTGGATAGGCTGATTTCAGTCCCAACACATCCTCTATTGCCGTGACAAAAGCCAGTCTAGGCTCTTCGACCTCGCCAAGGGGAGTCCTTGGTGTGAAGGTGGGCGGAGCACTGGACCCTCAAGGTACCCAACCAAGCCAACCAACCACATGACGACTGGCGTCCATCCGGCCCCCTTTCAGAAAACCTTCTCAAAAGCCCTCGCATTTCACGGCCACCGCACCAACACCCGCAAATGTACATAGATGGCTTTTGAGATTACCTCATGCTTCGGCCCAGAAGCTGGCGATCCCGCCAATGAATTCTTCGTCCTTCGGCTCTTTAAGCATAGCCGCATTGGGGGCCCTCCCGCTACGGGAAGCCAAGCGGGGCCCTGGCCAACAGCCGACAACCCGCTCATCAGACATGGGGAAAGTATAACACGAACAGGAGCCGCACTGCCAGCTCCTGCTCTTGACGGCACTGCTGGGGTGATGAACGTCGTGCCCCAAGGACGACACGCGTCTTGTCTGAGCCTTCTTCCCTTTCAGTAGACGTAGATGCGAGGCCACGGCACCAAGAGACGGAATAGCTCGTTCGGCATTCCTTGAAAACGGGACGCCCTGGCTCTTCTCCCGACGAAGCTTCTCTCGACGAAGCACCTCCGTATCGGGCCCTGGCATCAGTCGTCTCTCCAACAGGGAACGTCGGACCACCAACATGGCGCACGACCACGCCCGCGACGCTGCTCCGGCGGCAACAGGCCATCACATGCCCGTCATCTTTCAAGTCTCGACCTCGACCCCTCTCTTCTCGACGGCGGAGCCCAGCCAGGCGACCTACGTCGGCAACTGCATCCTCCTCGCCTTCATCGCCCTAACGCTACGATCCCTCCTCGCCGTGAAGCCCTTTCTCGAGAACCGGCTGTGGGCGAAGCGCAAAGCGCAGGCGGCGAGGGCCCAGGTCGGGGAGGAATTGCAGCGGCTGAACAGCGAGGAGGATGGCGCCGGCGAGGCCCCGAAGCCGGAGCGCTTGCTGCGGTCCAGGGAGATGGGGCCGCTCAGGACAACGGCGCGCTCTCGGGCGTTGGGCCTTCTGATCAGAGCGGGTAGGGCCTTTTTCGAAGTCGGTATTGCCATGTTGGGGTACCTGCTGTGAGTGCATGCGCTTTCCACGATAGGGAGACCGAGGGAGAGAGGACTGACATGACGAAACAGGATGCTGGCGATCATGACGATGAACGCGGGGTATTGTGCTTCGGTATTGGGAGGCATCTTCTTAGGGACGTTCATGTTTGGCGGTGGTATCGGCGAAGAACAGTTCGACCATTGCTAGAGGACAAGGTCGACAGCTCGAATGCAAAGGTTAGCCTTCGACTTCATGAAGAGACGTCTTCGACATTTTCTTCGTCTCATTGTTGATACTGAGTCGAAGGTCCATTTCCAATTTGGCTCCTTTCGCAAATGGTCACCGCACCCACCAACGGAAGTTGGCGGTTGCGTCATCGCATGGCCCATAAAGCGCTGTGACACGCGACGCGACGCGACACCTTATACCTACTTTGTCCCTTCTTCAACTATGGTTCTGGTAGCTGCTAACGGCCGTAAGGATGTGACAAGGTTCAGCAGGGCATTCCATCTTATCAGCAGCAGTACCACGGCCCGGATGTGGACGATGGCCCGCACATCATACCACGATGAAATACAACATACATCCTATTACAGGGATCAGATTATGCGGGTTACCCACCGCAAGCCTGTCAGTACGTGCTCGCCACCTTGCGGGACCACAGCGCCTACTTGGTCGGGTGCGGGCAGCTAAGTGACGACGGACAAGGTCGATGCGGGCACGGATGAGGCAACGGAAAACGCAAGACTCATCGACGACTATACCACACCTGAAGGTCGCACGTATGACTTTGATCTGAGCCTGGAAGCATCCAGTGAGCAGCCAGACGCTTGTCTCCTATCTCTTGTAGCCCGAGGGCAGCTGAAAGTATAGCACCCAGTATTCCAACCCGCAAATACAATTTTACCACGGCCGAGTAGTCTGTTGCCCGGGTTCATGTTCTCCAGTCCAACGTGACCGCCCGACTCCCGATCAAGCAGGCGGCATGCGTCTGTAGATATTCCATTTCTCGTTCACGTAGTCACAGCATGATTTTCACACCTGGAGAATTCCAGCTCGGTCCATCCAGCACAAAGGCCTTATCTCGTCAGTTGGAAAATGTCGTTCTAGGTGACACGGTCTGTATGACTCGAGGGGTCAGTCGAGTAAGGCCAGGACTGCAAGG